CGTATTGCATGGTATCACACGGCATAGAGTACGCAAAATAAAATTATGTTATATACTATAGCATCAGGAACATATGCATTAGACAAAAACAAGATAACAAGATAAATATATCTACATGGAAAATAACATTTTATAGCAGTGTGCAGGTATGAAAGTGCAATAAACGTTTTTCTGTTGGCACCTTACCTACCAATCATAAGATACAAGAAATCACATTTGTATGATATTATAGGAAAATGCATGAGGCTATGTCCTGAAAATTATTTACTGGAGCATATGAGATGGCTCATAATAAAAACACCCACACTGATAACCATTTTTGGACAACCCCTAGCCATACAGGGAAGGGATTTGTTAACTAAGTCAATCAAAAGTTGTAGTGTATGCAGTTTTGGATCTTTCTAATGTAGAATCAATGCGTTTTGGCATAAACAACTTAAGACAAAGTCATATTTTCTGATTAGTTCATATTTCTTCCCCAGAAAAGTCTTCTAGCACACACCTTTCAGGATTACATATATTTGGCAGGGACAACTTTTCAGAGCAAAATTCAGTCACTGAAAACCAAAAGGTTTTAATATGTGAACATGTCCAAATCACGAGAAATAAGTCTCTCATTTTCATATGATACACAAAAATGTGAGAGCTCTCCCTATTTTTTATCATCTGCATGGTGTATAATAGATTATGTGTAGGTGTCCCAGCTGGATCAATTTATTCTTGGCACAGATAACAGAAAGCAGTCACTTTCTAAGCATAGTCACACATTTTATCATCTATGGATGGGATATCCCTCTGCCATTGTCATTAGATTTTTTCTATTCTATACATATTGGGATGAAATCATATCTGGATATTAATTTGATGTGATCATTTTTGGCCAAAAGACATTCCTTCTGAGAAGTCTGTAGGTTCATCCATTTTAACCTAGAATGTGTGGCAGTAGCATGCCATAACTGTAAATAGACAAAATATAATTTGAGGATATTAAATTTCTCTTTCAGTTCTGTCATGCTGCTTTCTTTAGAACTGGTTCACAAATATGCAAATTGAATGCATTTTGAACCGCATACAATTCACGTGACATTTGAACCAAAATCCTTTTCTATGGAGCCAGTTCACATATGTGCAAGTTGGCTGCAGTGCGATTTAAAAAAGAGTCAGAGGAGAAGAATGTTGCTAGCACATCATGAATCTCCAATGTGGGTCCAAAGCTTTATTAAGCGATCACATAATTACAGCAAAAGCAACATTTTGGAGCCTTGCAAGACACCTTCATCAGAACATGTGTCCTACAAGGCTCTAAAAGTTGCTCTTGATGTAACTATGTGATTGGTTAATAAAGCTCTGGACGTACATTTGGAGAGCTACGGTGTGCTGGTGACATTCTTCTTCTCTGACTGCTCTCGGTTCCAGCCGATGGTTGCTGCAGCACCTGCTTACACACACAGCCATCTCTAAATGCAGGAATGTGTGTGCTGGGATAGTGCATTATAGTAAAAAAGAGTCAGATATGATTTTCAGCCCAGTGCAGGTGTCAAATACTTTAACAATTCACATTGGAATCCCATCTGAACCGCTGAATGATACATGAACCCAAACTTAGGGTTCCAGTGAACCCTGCCTTATTGTTTCTACATCACAATTCCAGTGAGCAGGATGCAGTATGAGGGTAGGTAAAAACACTATTGGCTGGGCTGGAAATATTTGAGAGGTGTTTGAGAGGCTGTAATTAATTGCTGGATGACTTGCAAGATATAAGGAGCCTCAAAGGGACCAATCTTAATATTTTGTTTATGTAAGCCCAGCGACTTTTAAACTCTGCAGACATACTACAAAAGATAGAGACTGAAAACATGCTACAGGTGTGGCTGGGGGCATACATGCAATAAACAGTCAGAGACTGGGACATGTTACATTAGACTACCGAAGATGATGGTCATTACAGCCCCTTTACAAATCAATGCTCCCACATTGGATTTGCATCACTGCTTCTGATGACTGTCATCTGCCAATCAGAGCCAACACACTACACATGACATGACAAGAGGCAGAGAAATCAGCTTGGTATAGACAGGAGAATGGCGCAGAAGGAAAGCAGAACTGAAAATATGAGCCCCAGCATATCAGATAGCACCTAGCTAATTAGTATCTAACACTAATTAGTGTTAATGAGGAGGTGGAGACTTAGCTCCTTGCACAGATAGAAAGGACAGCAAGGGCTGTGATATTGACTGGAGTAATGGCACTGCTGGAACAGTTAAAGGCTATATAGTTAGAAATCTATTACAAAACAATTTTATGGTATGGTTCATAGAGGCCCCAAATAGAAATGATGCTCTGTTGGACCTGGTAATCTCAAACCATACTTAGCCAATTACTAATGTTCATATAAAAGAACACTTGGGTAGCAGTGACCTTAACATGGTTTCTTTTAATGTAAGCTGTAAGCAACAAACACATACTGGAAAGATAAAAACACAACTTTAAGAGAGCAAATTTTCCAAGGATGACGGCTGCTCTCTAAGACTTAGACTGGGAGGGAATATTTGCACTGAAGAACACAGAACAGAAATAGGAATTCTTCAAAACCACTGTATGTGAACACACTGCAAAATATATTCCCATGGGCAATAAGTTTAAAAGGCTAAAAATAAAACCTATGTGGCTCATGCCAAAGTTAAAAAAGCTATGATTTATAACAAAAAAGCAGTTTAAAATATTTAAAAATGAAGGAACACTATCATCGTTTAAAGATTACAAAGAATATAACAGAATATGTAGAAAAGAAATCAGGGCTGCAAAAATTCAAAACAAATGACAGATTGCAAAAGAAAAAAAATTCTTCAAATATATTAATAGTAAAAAGAACAGGTCTGAGCATGCAGGTCCTTTACAAAATGATCTGGAGTCGGTGACTGGGAAAATTTATTAAATACCTTCTTCAGCTCTGTGTATACAAAGGAGCATGGACGAGCTGAAATCCATAATAAGGATAATACTGACATAGTCTCAAATGAACCATTATGGCTCAAAACTGATATGGTTCAGAAATATTTATATTTCAATGTTTTTATTAAGAAAATGCAATGAAAACAATCAACCATATGTTACTACATAGCGTAGACACATTACATGAAAACAGGAATCCACCTTCAAGTGACCAACATAAAGAGATCCATAATCAAATGAGCAAACAGGAAAATATTATGGTCTCAGGTCTAAGTCAAATAGTCACTAGAGGTTATGATAGACAATAATGGAAGATGGATTCTAGCCCAGCTTACAAATAAACAAAGATAAAATGAGCCCAAATAGCGACAAAACATCACATGTCATCAACATTACATAAGCACGTGATAAATGTAATAACAATTGTACAGTGGGGAGGGAAGGGAAAAGGGAGAGAGAGAAGAAGAAGGAAATGGGGAGGGAAGAAAAACCATTGCATAACAATCCTGAGGGTATGAATGGATCCAGAGCCATATAAGGACTCAAGGACCTCTGCATACAAGTTACGTAGTGTAAAAGAGAAAAAAAAAAACCCAGAGAGAGTGACCAATGAAAAAAGGATAGAAGAAAGGAAAAATCCAAAAACAAAAACAAGAATGGAAATAAGGTATGGAAATAGGAGGGTCGACTCAAAACATTTAAGGCACTGTTATGTAGCGGATCCATGGATACCAGGTTCTGTCAAACTTCCCAATGTTATTATGGAGAATGCACATGTGTCTATCATTGACCATAATTCAGTATAATTTAGCCTTGCAAAAGTCAAGCGGGACCAACAACTGTTTCCTGGTCCAGAAATATTTAGACAGAATATAGGTGAATAAAGCACCTGGACCGGATGGCATACACTCATTGGTCCGTAAAGAATTGAGCTCTGTCATTTCAAAGCCATTGTTTCTAATTTTTGGGGACTCTTTAATGACTGGCATAGTACCACTGGATTGGAGTAAGGCCAATGTGGTGCCTATATTTAGAAAGGAGTCAAAGTCTTTACCAAGTAAACTATAAACTTGTTAGTTTAACTTCTATAGTCAGGAAAATACTGGATGAGTTCTTGTAGGAGAAAAATATTTTAAGCAGTAGGCAGCTTTGGATTCATGAAAGACAGAAGTTGTCAAACAAATCTGATTTCTTTTTATGAGGATGTAAGCAAAACCCTTAAACAAAGAAGTGGCTGTGGACGTAGTATGCTTAGATTTTGCAAAAGTGTTTGACACAGTTTCCCACAGACAGCTAATGTAAGGTAAAGTCTACAGGATTAGAAAATTCAGTTTGTAAATGTATAGAAAACTGTCTAAAAGACCGTATTCAGAGAGTAGTGGTTAATGATTCATATTCTGAATGGTCTAGGGTTATTAGTAGTGTACCCCAAGGTTCAGTGTTTAGACCTTTACTTTTTAGGATATTTATAAATGATATAGGGTCTGGGATTAAAAGTACTATTTCAGTGTTTGCAGATAACACCAAGTTATGCAGTGGAATTACGTCCTTACAGGTTGTCTCCAACTTACAAGCTGACCTCATTCCACTTTTTAACCTCTTCCCAGCCACCCATAGACTATAGACTCTTCAGGAAAGGCTGTCCACAAGGTTTAGGAGTGTTTCTATGGGAATGTTTGACCATTGTTCCAGAAGTGCATTTGTGAAGTCAGGCACTAATGTCAGACGAGAAGGCCTGGCTCACAGTGGCTCACAGTCTCCGCTCTAATTCATCCCAAAGGTGTTCTATTGGGTTGAGGTCAGGACTACACCCCAAACTCGCTCATCCATGTCTTTATGGACCTTACTTTGTGCACTGGTGAGCAGTCATGTTGGAACAGGAAGAGGCCATCCCCAACCTGTTCCCACAAAAAGTTGGGAGCATGAAATTGTCCAAAATGTCTTGGTATGCTGACGCCTTAAAAGTTCCCTTCCCTGGAACTAAGGGGCCAAGCCCAACCTCTGAAAAATCAACCCCACACATCTGATAATCCCTCCTTCACTAAACTTTACACTTGGCACAATGCAATCAGGCAAGTACCGTTCTCCTGGCAACCACCAAACCCAGACACGTCCATTGGATTCCTCACTCCAGAGAACATGTCTCCACTGCTCTAGAGTCCAGTGGCGGAGTGCTTTACACCACTGCATCCAACGCTTTGCAGTGCACTTGGTGATGTAAGGCTTGGATGCAGCTGCTCGTCCATAGAAACCCATTCCATGAAGCTCTCTACACACTGTTGTGATAATCTGAAGGTCACATAAAGTTTGGAGATCTTTGGCTATTAACTCTGCAGACAGTTGGCAATTTCTGTGCACTGTGCGCTTCAGCATTCGCTGACCCTGCTCTTTCATTTTACGTGGCCTATCATTTCCTAGCTGAGTTGCTGTTGTTCCCAGTTGCTTCCACCTTGTTATAATACCACTAACAGTTGACCGTGGAATATTTAGTAGCAAGGAAATTTCCCGGATGGACTTATTGCACAGGTGGCAACCTATCATGGTACCACGCTTGAATTCACTGAGCTCCTGAGAGCAATCCATTCTTTCACAACTGTTTGTAGAAGCAGTCTGCATACCTAGGTGCTTGATTTTATACATCTGTGGCCATGGAGGTGATTGGAACACCTGAATCCAATGATTTAGGGGGGTTTCCCAATACTTTTGACAATATAGTGTACTGTATATCCCATAGTTTGTAGACTCTATAGCTTTCACACAGACTAAATAATATACACTGTTTTGGGTTATTTTTACTCTAGAAATATAGCAGAATACATTTTTGGCCTACATTTATGACATATATTAAGACACATTATATATTTTACAAAATTTATTAACAAAAAATAAGCAACAAATATTTAAAAAAAATGTTCAGTCTTTTTATTTATATAACAAACCCCCCAGTGATGATAAAATACAACCAAAAGAAAGTTCTATCTGTCTGAAAAAAAATGATATAATGGGTATAGTATTTAATGTTGATAAATGTAAGGTAGGGGGCAAAACACGCATGCAGCATGTTAGTCGAACAGCTGGGGGAATCAATGGTGGAGAAGAATCTGGGTATTCTGGTAAATCAGAGACTTAATAATACATGCAATGCCAAGCTGTAGCTTTCAAAATATACAAAATCCTTTCTTGTATTAAGAGAGGTAAAGACTCCAGAGAGATATATCATTTTTCAAATCATTAGTAACACCTCATCTGGAATATGCAGTTCAGTTTTGGGCACTAGTTCACATAAAGGATATTGGGGATCTGTAGACAAGGGCAATCAAACTGATAAGAGGCATGGAGGAGCTCAGCTATGAGGAAAGATTAGCTGAACTGAATCTATTCTCTCTTGAGAAGAGGAAACTAACAGTGATATGATCAACATGTATAAATACATAGGTGGTCCATATAGTGAACTTGGTGTAGAGTTTTTCACTTTAAAGCGGAGTTACACCCAAAAGTGGAAGATCCGCTTTTATGCCTCCCCCTTCTCCGCTGCCACATTTGGCATCTTTTGGGGGGGAGTGGGGGTATCTGGTTTTGACAGGTACATGCTCCCACTTCCTGCTCAGTTCGCCGCAGTGAACTAAGCCGAAGTTTGGCACCCCTGCAGCCCTCTATGAAATTTCCAAGGTCCCAGAGGACTGCGGCCCCTTCACAAAGAATTGTGCACATGAGCAGTAGGAAACCGGTGGTGAAGCTACAAGGCTTCACTGCCACTGCGGTTTCCCTTAGTCAAGATGGCAGCGCCAGCACCCGACAACCGATTGAAGAGTTTGAGGTGAGGACATCGCTGTATGCATTGACAAATAAATGCCCTACTAATAAAAGTCAGCAACTTCTGGGAGGTGAAGGGGGCTGGCTGGAACTCCACTTTAAGGTCATCACAGAGGACAAGGGGGCACTCTTTATGCCTGGAGGAAAAATGATTTAACCTGCAAGTAGAGAAAGGCTTCTTCACAGTAAGAGCTGTGAAAATGTGGAAAAGACTCCCCTAAGAACTGGTCTTGGCCAGCTCAGTAGATTGTTTGAAAAAAGGCCTGGATTATTTTCTAGATACACTTAATATAACTGGATACTAATATGTATAGGTAAAGTTGATTTAGGGAATATCTGATTGCCTCCTGGGAGATTAGGAAGGACTTTTTCTCCCACTGGAGCAAACTGGATCAAGCTGTATTGTTGTTTTTTTTTTTTTTTTGCCTTCCTCTGGATCATCTTTTGGTATATAATATGTGTATATAAAAATTGCATAATTTTTCTTTTCGTTTTATTGGTTGAACTGGATGGACTTGTGTCTTTTTTCAACCAGATTTTATTCTGACTTTATTCTGTCAAAGCAGCTTTAGGATCTTTGAAGGCCATTACACTCTTACTGCAGGAACCTGTCTCAAATATGAAGTTCTTTAGTTAGTGCGATCATGGTACAATGAAATGTTACTTGCACTTTGATTGTATCAGTAAGTAACATATTTTATATGCACTGCAATAATTGACTGTTATAACCTTTACAATTTCAAATAAAGTGGGGTATAATTTTTGGGGAAGATTTTGTATTATGGGTTTGGTGACATGTAGGTAAGGTAAGACACTATCTGCTATAGTCTTCAGGACCCAGTCTAACAAACTAGTGGATTGTCATGGATGAATCTGCTTGAATTTGATTCATCAAGAGCTTGGGGGGTTGAAACCTATTGTTAAAGTATGGCCATTTTTAGTGCTAATAGGCAAATTGCTACTAAAAAAAAAGGCATGGGAAGTTGGGCACTGTCAAGGGGGCATGTTCCATTGTAAATTCATTTTAATACTCCACAATGGGGAGCGGGTATTTTCATGAAAATTTGAAGTCAACATTGAAAAAAAATAAACCATTTAAATAACACGCTTAGGGGATTCCTTAAAGCTGCATTTGGCATTGTGCAGCAGTACAATTTTCATGGACAGTCTTAGTGACAACATACACTGGCAGGACGTATTTGGCTGTGGAAGTAACTTTTTCTTTCTTTTACAATTAGTTTGGCTTGCATACGGTGAAAGCACCCCAGGTTGCTTTAGCAGTGACATATGCTTTTCCATCAAACAATATTGGATCTGCTTTGATTGGCAGCTAGAAATAGCTTAGCAGTTTGCTGTGGTAGTTTCTCTCCTCACTAATTCAAAACTGCAGCTGGAGAATTTCCATCAAGCTCTTGTTAATAATTAAGAGACCACAGATGACACAGCAGTGTCAAATTAGCCAACAGCAAGATATTTTTTAAATAACAAGGCTAGGCCCGGGTTTACTTAAGACAAAAAGCACAGGTTGGGGTTTACTACAAGAATTAATAAACTGCAGAGGATACAGCAATGTACAATTTCCCAGAAAACAGAACAGCTTTAATCAAGGATAATGGGCCTAACTAGTGTATGCCTAACTTTTATTTTATCTATGAGGACAGAGGGTATGCAGTGAATGTGGGGGATATAATATAAGGTGGTTTGGGTGCATAATTTTCTTGCACTTCATTTTTTTTTCTTTCAATAGACACAGCGGAATGCATATTAATTTAAAAATCCCACAAAATAAATACATACCCCAGAATACCACCCCTGAAACAAAAGTCCTCTTTTTTAAAAGGACGACTTGCAGAAAAAAAGTAGTTTATGGTTTCCTTATTGTCCTCTAGAATGTTAGTTATGATATATATATATATATATATATATATATATATATATATATATATAAAAACTACAACCTCTGTGTTTACTGTATATAGAGCTCTTTACTTTATAAAACAAAAAAGGGTCCCAAAACACTAAGATTTACAAAAAGTCATGCAGGTTTTATTCTCCACACTATTGCTGTGTTGTGTTCTTTATTTGGCAATGTTGAGATATTTACCATCTCAATTGCACATTTCTTTTTCCTATGTACAGAATTAAGTAAAAGGAGCGTATTTTGTACTGGCAGTCCCCGTGTGACCTTTCTCTAACTTGCTTCCAGTGTCGGCTGTTAAAGGCAGCTTGTACTGAGAGTAATATGCAGGCTACCAATGACAGCCTCCTTTTGAAAATGATAATTGCCTGGCTGTCTCTGGTCCTAGTTTTTTTTATAATAAAATGAGCTGGTATAACTAAAAGCCCATTGTTAGCTCTTTTAAACCTGTTGGCCATAGTTCAAAGGCCATGCAGTGCATTATGGTTTAAAAACATTCTCGGTGACCAGCACATGCATTCTCCAGGATTGCAAACTTGAACCTCATCACTACTCATATAGGCTTATATAGTATCTAGTCTCCAGATACCATACAGGTGCAAAAAAGCTAGTAGCCATGTGAAACGTTTCCACATGGAAAAAAATAATACGTAGGTCCAAAATGGTCCAAAAGCTGTGGATAGCAATATAGCCCAGTAGGACATGCCCCCAACCAATAAGCATGACTTAACAGGCAGGTCCATGCAGGTCTGGGACCTGGTATTTGTATGGCTATCAAGACCTACCAACCAAATGTCAAGACATACCAACCGAATGTCTACAAAAAGAAAAGATATAGTGTGAACAAGTCTCCTACAAACCAGCAGTTGATCCAACCCTTAAGAGAATTGTCAATATTGGTCCAATTTTTCCTTTACAAAAGTGACACAAAGGATATGAGCCCAGATGCCCGATGTGTGGTGGAAGCAACAGCAACAGAGCATCTCATGGGATCAGGATCACTGATGGAAATGACTCAACAGCTTGGAAAACTGTGTTCGATTTTTTTCCATTGCTTACATATTTTCGTCACTTGTTAAAAAGTTTCTCTGACATGCATTGAATGACAGGCCTCCATACTGAACAAAAAGAGGATATTTCAAAGGTCTGATCAGTCTATTTACTGAATTTTCTTGCTTATTTTCTAGTTTTATGCTTTCCTTTCACCAACATTCTGTTACACATCGCTCTTTATTCTGTAACATACCGTGACATTTGTAAAACTGAATGCTGCATTGGGACGGATTTACTATTAATCAACAGGATTCTATACCGACAGGTGAATTCTTTCAAATTTTTACTGCAGCCAGAGTGTTACTGGCTGCTGCTTACTTATTTATGGTATATATGAATTTTTGAATTGTGTATTTTCCTTATTGTTCTCCGGTGTTTGTTATTTATGATTGATATATGTATATAACTACAACCTCAGTGTTTAGTGTATATGGAGCTCTTTTCATTATAAAACAAACAAGGGTCCCAAAGCACTGAGTGAGATTTCCAAAGAATCATGTAGGTTTTTCACTCCATGTTATTGCTGCATTGTGTTCTTTATTTGGCAGTGTTGAGATATTCACCATCTCCATTGCACATTTCTCTTTTCTATGCGCATAATTAAGCAAAAGGTGTGTATTTTGTACTGGCAGTCCCTGTGTGACCTTTCTGTAAATCACTTTCACTGCCGGCTGTTAAAGGAAACGGGTATGGAGAAAAATATGCAGGCTGCCAATGCCAACCTTTCTAAAAATGCCAGTTGTCTGGTTGTCTCTGGTCTTGGATCTTTCTGAGTCACAGACATGGAAGCAGCATGCAGCAAGTGAAGTCAGGGGAAGTCAAAATTCCTGATGTGCAT